GTAGTGTAGAGAGCTAAGGGGAGAGAGAGAGGCATAGACACAGACAGACGACTAGACAGGGAGTCTGAAGGAGAGCTAGAAAATATAGAGAGGCAGTAATGAAGAGGTAGAGCAGAAGAGAAAACGGAAGACAGGAAGAGGGAGAAAGAATGAGCGTAGAGGTGGCATAGATATAAAAAAAATTAAATGGAAGCTACTTCTCTCAGCTGTCCCATAATAGATCTCTCATATCTCTCCAGTTAAGCTACACTTAGTCGGCACCAGAGAAACTTTCATTCACTTCAAACTAAACAATTCTCATTAATTGCTGTTTCAATGCTGTACATAAGACCTAAAAGTTGTAAATGACTAAGGATTTTATATTGGTGTTTTATGAATATTATTTACCATAAGAAAACAACACATCATTTGATATAAATGCCAATTGAATTGGACAAAACATATTGATGACTCTTCTTATTGTTTTTGCTTTCCATTTTTTGCGTGCCCGTTTGAGTTTTTTTTTTTTTTTCCTTTCGTGTTGTAACGCATTTTGCACATTGGGACCAAATTGAATTGCCGCTGACACTGTTTTGCTCTTGCAAGGCCATCCTACAGTCATCCGCTGGCCATCGCCAACAACAACTATAACAGTAATAGCAACAATGGCAAGATCAGCTTGGTATCATGTGCTATTATTATGATGGTTATTATTATGGCAGCAGCCTTTGGCATTGCCTTAGCATAGGGCCTGCAGCACCAGCAGCAGCACGACTGGGCAGTCAACTGTAGCAACGGTCACGCCTACCCCGCTGGGCAACTGGTCAGGGGTAATGTGGACTTGTGACCTTAGCGCGTAAGCAAACTTTGGCAATTGTTAAAAAAACAAAAACAACAAAACAAAAAACAACCAAACAGCTAAAAAAAATTAGCATGTCGCATTGTCTGCTATTATTTTCATGACGAGTGCCAAAAGTCGAAATCTCGTTTTGTTTTGAGCCATTAAATGCATGTGCCGAGAGTTCATTGTCGGCGCATTGGCGCATTGTCAATGAATTAGACTCAGTTGCAAAAGCTGATGTGTCAATTGGGTTTCCGGTTCGAGAGTTTTGTTTTGCCTTGAGTTTCTTTTTAATATTGATTAGAAATTTTCTTAAAGAATAATGTAGTCAATAATAAAGCACAGCTTAGTTTTCCCCAGCTCTGTTGAAATGAAAATTGTCTTTGTGCTTTCAACAGATTTGCATAAGTTAAATGACATCTTTCACAAGACTTCCCGTCCGATTATAATCAGCGAAGCTGTCATTAATCAGTCCGATGCCAATTAGTGGCCATTTAAGTGAGCCAAAAACTTATTAACCGCTTGTTTATGAGTAATTTGCATCATTTTCCATAGCAATAAAATGCAAAATGCAATTTGCTATTATGTGTGAAATTTGTGCGCGGAGAAGGGGCCTTTTCTTTGCTAATTAAAAACAAAAGATTTTAATTTGTAATGCGAGCGAAAAGTAGGCGGCGAGACTGAAAACTTAAAGCTGAAAACCGACCAACACCGACCACATGAGAGAGAAACAGAAACAGAAAGTTTTACTCCTTGGCTTGGCCGCATTGCGCATACGCAACGTTGAACGCTGTGCAACCGAGTGCAGCACATTTGTTGAGGGTTGCTCTAGCCTAATGTGCATAAAATACGCATCAAAAATGCATCAAGCATTTGAAAACCGTAGTGTTAATTGGCCAGAGCAAATCGCTAAATGAATTCACCTGGCCATTGACTCATGCATCGAAAAGCTGATCTCATGCTCTTGAGTCATTGCCGGCTTGCGTTGTGGCAATTTAAAGTTTTCAATGTTTATTAATAGGCCGCTTAGGTAATTGCTAGCATTTGACAATCGAAACTTGTTTGCTAACGGCTAGAAGAGGTGCCAGAGCTCCCTACCCTCATTTTTCATTGCTGTATAAACTTTATATCACGATTCTTGAAGCACTGCTGCAAAATGACTGGCGTGCCGCTGCTTAACTAATTATTTACAGTAATTATCGGCTGTAGTTGCCACAGCCGCAGCCGCAGCCGCAGCAACTTTCAATACCCAGCCAACAGTCAGCAAAATTCTTTGTCATTGAAATTGATGATACTAAAAACTGACGTTTTAGCTCAAGCATTTGAAAACAGAAATGAGCAATGCATGTTGCTTATGGCTTATCGATACATGTTTGGCAACTAGTTGCGTTAATTAATCGTTATCGATGCTTCAAATATCGAGTGCACTCCCACTTCTAATTCGCAATATTTACTCAAGCGTTTCTTTGGATTGTGCGGCGCTTTAACGCAATTTCTAATTTGCATAAAAAGTTGTGGCCCCTCACTTGTTGCATGGATGACTCAGCCAAGGGGCATACGTGCATTTGTGTCAATTGCATTTGAACATTTCCTGCCCACAGGCGCTGCAAATTGTGCTGCACAAATATTTACAATTTTTCGCAAAACCAAATAAGCACTCCGCACCACAGGAAAGTGGGTCACATTACGTCGCATTTGAATACAACACGCAGAAATAATTCATGTGTGTGTGTGTGTGTGTGTGTGTGTGTGTGTGTGTGTGTGTGTGTGTGTGTGTGTGTGTGTGTGTGTGTGTGTGTGTGTGTGTGTGTGTGTGTGTGTGTGTGTGTGTGTGTGTGTGTGTGTGTGTGTGTGTGTGTGTGTGTGTGTGTGTGTGTGTGTGTGTGTGTGTGTGTGTGTGTGTGTGTGTGTGTGTGTGTGTGTGTGTGTGTGGCGTCAAAGAAATTACAGCTACCGTTTGGTGATCATGCAATGCAATTAGTACGAAGTGTGTATAAGAAATTCAAAAATACGTAATAAAATTAACTCGAAACAAAACTCTGGCCGGCAACATTTGAACGAGATTTGCAGCTCATCTTTATTGCGTATTTTATTTGATTTTTCTTTTAAACTTTTGCTTTGACTATGCCGTATGTGAACTCATTTCTGCGGCTGAGCTGAGCTGATGCCAACTTCCGTTGTTGTTGCCTGATTTTGACGCTGTAGCCAACGCACAGTGGGCTATATTTTGGAGTTTTTTGTTTCGTAATTCAAATAGTTATTCTAAAGATTTAAATGCCATTTTTCGTTGAATATTTCATACATATAAAACTTTAATTTATATGTCAATATCTTATGTATGCAATATAAATATCTAGAAATATTTCCAATCTTCTAAAACTATATATTCAAGTACATAGGTAGATATATAAATTTCGATGTTTGTCACGACTTTTTTTTTTGCGTACGGCTCCACTGTGCATCGTCGCAGCCATCATCAACACATTTCATTGAGCGTGAAATAGAAACAGAGAAAGTATGTACAATAATTTTTTTATTTTTTATTTTTTATTTTGCGTCTTCTCTCTCACTTTGTATTGTTTTATTTATCTGGCAACTGTCAGTGCAGTGGCTTGCCCGCCTGTTTTGCAGTTGGCTTTTTTTTTTCATTTTTCTTTATTTTGTTACTAACGTTTTCCATTGTCTGGCTGCAGTTTTCTTCTTTCTGCTGCAATTGCATTGCTTAGGCGCGAGCCGAGCGTCGCCCTCTTAGCCAACAGCAACAACAACAGTAACAATAATACAATTACTGCAATTTTTGTGGTTTATTATTTTTTTTTTTTGGCCGCATCGTCGCATTTTATGCAAATTACCGGTAATTTTGTTTAAAGCTTTTCATTTACTGTTTTGTCGCTCCATTTTATTAGCTGCGAAGATTATTTTTGGTTTTTGCTGATAGGCAAACCGCGCTGACTTCTCATATTTATTGCTTGCTTTTAATTTACGTGTTTGCAGCGCATTTTCCGCATGGAGTTGGCAGATAAAACTTTTACGTACGTCTTCTTCAATGCGATCGCGAAACACACATGTATATTTATTTACATAAACAACGATTTTGTTAGCTGGCATATTCGTTTACGTTTATTCTATGCCAATTGAAGGTTCACATATTGATTAAACTTTTGCATGCAATTTTTCAATGTCGCCACAAACCTTGATCCAAAAACGGTGAACCCTCTATTCGCCGCTTGGCAATTACGAGCGCAGAGCACTATTACTTGCCCATTATGCAAATTTAAATTATGAATAATTGAATTTGAAACTGAAATTGAACAATCGAAAGCTTTTTAGCTTACTTAGAAGTGGCCCTTGGCTTATCGATGATTAATGCATCATTAGAAATGTGCCGGCTGTTTGAGCTGGTGAGTGCGATTGTTATCGCCTAAGCAGGTCTATCGGAGCTCAACTTAAAGTAAATAATTGCCTGTTAAAGCCGCGATGCCTTCAGCTGCAGCTATTCGACACTGTGGCTATAGCTGAAGGCGAATTTGCTCAACCAATGGATAAGATGCGCCGCCAAAGAAGTGAAAATTCAATTGCATTTGAATGTTGAATGTTGAATGATGTGAATTTTGCGGCTACCTTGTCTTGCAACGGTGTCAAGAGCCAAGGCGCCATTGTTGACGGCGAGCTGAAGATTTTCCTGCGCACAGTGGTACCAAGGCGGTTGCAAAATGCGCTTGTATCGAAAGTAATATGTAAAACAAGGTCTTTACATATATTTTTGATGGGACGAATTTCTTAAATACTTTACTGAATGAATAATTTTGCTTTTCCCACTTCAACCATTTCAAAAAAGTTGTTGAGGCAATTATTATAATTAACTTTTGTTTTAGGATGCTATTCGATAAGGTTTGTAGCTCTTTGCTGGCTGCTGCCGCGGCTGTAGCTGTAGCTTAATAAAAGAGTTGAAAATGCAAATGTTACCTGTGCAATTACCTGTCGAGCTGTGTTAACCTTGCGGTTGCCTTTGTTATTTGTTGGTGTTTTATTTTTTGTGCTGGGTACGTGCACATTGTTTACTTCACTTACTTTCGTTGCTGCTTGTTTCAGCAATTGCTGACGAGTCATAGAACAAACAATTAGTTGATATCTCTGCATTTAATTAACTTTCCATTCGCTTTGCTCCGTTCATTTACAGAAACTTGAGCAGGAGAAGCATGTGCTGCGCCAGAAGCTAGCCATAGCGGAAGATGAGAGCGATCAACGTGTGCTCGAGCTGCAGTCAGATCTCAACGAGCTGAAGGACAAGCTGCAGACACAGGATGCGGCCATCAGGCAAGCGGAAAAGGAAAAGACCATACTAATCGATGAGCTGCAGCATCAGAATACACGCTTGACCGAACAGATACAGGAAGCACATGCCACCGAAATGAAGCTCAGTGCACAGATTCAAGAGCTGAAGGACCAATATCACTACAGGAACAGCAGCCTTCAGGTAAGTCATTGACTAAGCATATCCAATTCCAATTGATTAAGCGCATTTTGTTCACAGGAGCACGTCAACAGCCTGGAGTCCATCAAAACCGAACTAAACCTCACCACAGGCAAACGCCAGGAACTGGAGCGTCGTCTGCAGCACGCCCAGGAGGAGAAGGAGAGTCTCACCTCATCGCTGGAGGAGGCCTCGGACCGCATTCACATGCTGGAACGACATGCCCGCGAGCAAGAAACAAAATTAGAGGTGAGCTCAAAAAGCAATCGCAATCTGTTCGTTATCACGTCTATTTCATTATAAATTTAAAAGAAAGAGAAATCGTGATTTTCAAATTGTCTGATTATTTATGTCGCTTCAAAGAACAAACTGCGCAGTTTCTCAAGTGCTCAACTTATCTATGAGCGAGCAACTTTCTTTTGCACTTAATTTTCGTTATTATGATAAGTTAAGAGTTTCGATCTATAAATAATTAATGTGTTTTGCCTTGTCTTGCTTAAATCTAAACTGAACTATTATTACATATTTACAGACCACCTTACAAGCATTGGAACGTTCTCAGCGTGAAAATAATGTGCTTAGCGAGCGCTTGGGTGCGGTAAGTTCCTCTTTGCACTAAAACTGTAAAATATCCATTTAAGATTACCATTTGTAGACTAATTTGAAGTATATTAAGTAATTAGAGCACGCGCCTACATGGCACTTAACAGCGGTCGCCCTCTAGCGGCTCGCATAATGTTATCGTACCAAAATTTAAATTTGGGAAATTATTGTAAGATATCGATATACATTTCATATCCAGTGATCGTTTGAACTGCTCAAAACATAAATGTATATTTGTATTCATATTTAGTGTGTTTTTCCCATTTACTGCAGGACGCCAACTCGAGTACGCCGGGCAAAAAGAGTCTACAATTCGAAATGGAGTGCGATGAGGAGGAGGCCAGCTTCTCGGAATCCGGCAAGCCTAGCCAAATGTGGATAGAGGCGCGTTCTGTTTATATACAGCTGAAATCCCTTGTGGACTCGCTTAAAGTGGGCCACGATGATGACTCAGGTAACTCAGTTTAATTGCTTACGGAATTAATCTTTGCTCAACAATAGGAACCTCTGTTAACTACGCAGGTCTCAATTCTGATATATCGCTGGATCTGGAGTCGATGGACAACACGATGTCCAGCACAGAGCGCAATGACAGCGACCATATGGCCATTGAGTTCCGGCAGGGCATGCTGTCAGCCATGTCGGATGAGCTGACGCGATTGCTGCTTAACTTGGATGCGGGCAACTTTAAGAAAATGCTGGACCAGACACGCAATCTAGTGCTGGAGCAGGAGGACGAGATCAAGCGCAGCCATCAGCTTATACAGCAGCTGGAGGCTAAAGTCACGGTGACGGATGTAGAGTTGCAGAATGTGAAAGAGGAGCGCGATCAGGCACGTGGCGATCTCGTTGACAACACCGATCGCGATGAGCTGCTGACCAAGGCGCAAAAGGAACGCGATGCGGCGAACGAGCGTCGCACCAAGGCCGAGGTGGAGCTGGCCAAGACGCGCGTCGAGCTGATGCAGGCCAACAGTCAGCTGCTGGAGTCCATTCAGCAGAAGGTGGAGCTGTCGCAGCAGCTCGAGCAATGGCAAATGGACATGCAAGAGCTGATCGATGAGCAGATGCGCTCCAAACTAATCAACAACCGTCGCAACGCCCAGTCCGCCGAGACGACGACGACGGCGCCCAGCAGCACGGCAGCCCAGTTGGCCAAGCGGGTCTCCAGCTACAAACTGTGGAGTTTATTTCAGCGCTAGTTGGGCAAACTTAACAACACGCTGGAAGATCTATGCAACTCTTATATTCTTAATGTAGGAAGGATCAACTAAATATATATACATACATATATTTTTAATATTTATACACAAAAGAGAGCCTTAGCATATATATATATATATTTACGTATGCATGTACGTATGTATTTGTTGTAATTTGTATGTATATTGTAATGATGCGACCTTCTTTGGTTTTGTAGTGAAATCTTTTTAATTACGCTTTATTAATCTTAAAGACATAATGTATTATTGTAATTGTACTCTCGTACCTATGTTTAAACAATATTTCTGTACACAAATTTTTTTAACACAATCTCGCTCTCTCTCCCCTCTTTCCTATCCATGTTAGTTTATCATTTAATTCTTTTAAGATCAAACGGAAAATCGAAAACAGAAAACAAAAAACATATCGCCCATCTTGTTGAGCGGCTGGCAATAGGCTTAAAGCCTTTCCTGGTTCAAAAACTTGTGTTTGCGATTACTGAAATCAAAATGTTATAATCTAACCATTTATTGTACTTAAGCTGATTTAATTTTAAGCAAAGCATTTATGTTAAAACAAGAAAACAACATTTATATATCTGAATGATATGAACGAGGCAGATAAAACGGAATTATATGCGATCTTCGCAACGGACAACTTGCCTTAAATACGGACAATGAAAAGTTTAATATTTTAGATTGTTTAACTCTATAACTTACCAATAAATCTATACAATATAAACAACAACAAAACACTACTTTTAAGTTTGAACTTATTCTCTTGCTGTCGGACGTAGTTTGAGTAAAGTAATTTATATAAATGTTTGCTTTATGGACATAAACTACGTTTGAATACGCGTGCACTGAGTGGTGTAGCGCCATCTACCGCCAAACCGAATTGATCGAGCTCAAAAATTGGAAACTATCGGTATGTATGTCATATTGGGCCAATTAAAAAGCAGTCGATAAAATATGTAATCGAAAATGTTAAAATGTAAATATACGTTACATCAATGCACTTCTTAGATATAAAATATGATGCTTAAAGTAAGTGAATGTAACTTAGGCAGACAAGCGATACGAAAAGTTAATACAAAAAAATGATTACAAAAATACAACAAATTTTAACAAGTTACATATATTTGGAAAATGTAATTGAATCATGGATCACATGCAATTTGGATTGAAATTGCTAAAAGGCCATTTTGCTCCAACAACCGCATTCCTTAGAATTCCATTAAAGCTTAACACAAATTTCATTTGTGAACTCTGAACATTTCGCTCGTCCACCTAAATCTGCAGTTATCCATCGACCCTCTTTAATGGTCTCGAGAACAGCTCGCTCGATCTTATCAGCATATTCTTTCAGCTGTAAGTGGCGCAACATCATGACTGCTGACAGCAGCAGGGCAGTGGGATTGGCCAAATCCTTTCCAGCTAAATTTGGAGCGGTTCCATGCACCGATTCAAACAGAGCACCGTTTAGGCCCATGTTTCCGGATGGGGTCAGTCCGAGGCCACCGATCAGACCGGCGCACATATCAGATAAAATATCGCCGTATAAATTCGGCATGACTAGGACATCGAAATTATCGGGGCTATTCGCCATTCTGAGACAAACCGTGTCCAGATGACACTCATTGAACTGGATTTCTGGATATTCATTCGACACGTCTCGCACGCAACGCAGAAACAAGCCGTCCGACATCCGCATTATATTAGCCTTGTGTACGACGGTCACCTTTTTGCGATTGTTGTTCTTGGCATATTCGAAGGCGTACTTTCCAATGCGGGTGGAGGCCTTTTGCGTGATCAGTTTTATGCTCTGCACAACGCCACTCACTACCTCATGCTCGATGCCGGAATATTCGCCCTCCGTATTCTCCCGTATGGTGACCACATTAACGTCGTCGTAGGCTGTCTTATAGCCAGGCACACTGCGGCAGGGACGTACATTGGCAAACAATTGGAAATGCTTACGCATGGCCAAATTAATCGATTCATGACCATGGCATAGTGGCGTCTCTAACGGGCCTTTGAGGCCCACCTTGGTTTTGTTGATAGAATCGATAACTTCCTGAGGTATTCCGCATTTTGCATTGTCTTTAATCACTGGCTTCACATCAACAGCCTCCCATTCGATGGGCACACCGGCGGCAGAGAAGATTTTTATCACAGAGGATGTTATTTCGGGACCAATGCCATCACCAGGCATAAGAGTAACTCTTTTGACAGCAGACGAGTAGTACCGGATAGCAGCGGGACAAGTATTAAAAATATGATGTATTAATCTAGCAGTCATTTCGTATTTTTTGAGTTAAAAGTCTTGTCTGCTGGAACTAATAATTAATTTAAAGTTAGTGGTTTCGCTACCCAGTGTAGAAGTAGCAAAGCTTTTGTGGCGCATTTGTTCAAGCAACGTAGAAATATCGTAACATATTTAATATGTCAAAAACGTGTCAATATATTCGAAAAGCTGTACTTGGATATATGAGCATCTTTTAAAATGGGATGACATATTTTAATAAGTTGAACATTTACTTTGATATAATTTTCAATTGATTGATGGAAAATATAACAAACAGTTCTCAAAGTGCATGTTAAGTTCTCAAAAAATTGAAGATATTCGATTACTGTGCAACGCGATTGTCCAAATGGAAATAGCAGCATGCAATAGTTAGCTTGACGTATTGTATGTTGGACAGTGATATTTTACCTATCGATGTATCGATACATATCTATATATTTTTAGCCATCCCCAAGTTTTTCGAAGAACAAAAAGAACGGCAGGACAAGGCAGCAGTTTCAATTTCATTCCTAATTTATTGTAAAAGTAGTAAGCAACCAGAAGAACACACGGCAAACAATGCCTTCGGCTGCTACCACATTCACCAACACCAACAACAATAGCAAGGAGAAACGCGCCTCGGTCAGCTCCATCGGTGCTAGCAGCGTCGTCGGCGGCGGCGTGGGTGGTGGCGGCTGCAACAATGGTAACGCAAGCAACGGACAGCACAGCAGTAATACTAATCTTGCTGACAGTGCCAAGTCTGTTGCGGCAACGGGAGTAGCGCCAGGCAGCGGAAGTAGCCAAACTGATTTAACTAACAACAACAACACTAACGTCAATGCCAAAGCGCTGAAACTGTCGGCCGTCGCTGCTAACGCGGCTACCGAGCCGTACAACCCGATGAAGCAAATTCTGGTAACCATTGAGCACAAGATTCGCAATTTGGAAAAGCGTAAGGTAAGTGCACAAAATATAAGAAAAAAAAAAAAAATAAGGCACCTAACACTGCAGGCATTGCCCACCATTTTTATTTTCGTTTGTGGGCCGCTTTGTTTCGTTTGCTTTTTTGTCGTGCTGTTTCCCCCTTGTGCTCGCAGATTTTTCGCGACGCCATGTTTGCTATCTCACAGAGTTGCCAGACCAATAAGAGTTGCTATAAACTAAAATATTTTATTTTGCCTTTGGCTGCAAAGAAACTATTGCTTTTTTTTTTAAAGAACATTTTTATAAACTATAATACGCGCTTAAGTTAAATTGTATATGCAGTTTAATTATGGACTGGTGTAATAACAAAAAAAATAAACATTTAAAACGCGCCGGCGCTTGATCTGGTAACTTTGGCAACTTTGGTTCCGCATGTGAGCAATCGCATTACTTTTGGTTTCGTTTTGCATTTTGTTTGTTTTATGAAATAAAACCAAATATTGAGAAAATGAAGCGCCGCAAATGTTTTGTATTTTGCAAACCGTGACTCATCCCAAAACTCTTGTCACGCATACAGACCAAATTGGAGTCGTACCGAGCCATCCAAGCTGGCGGCAAGGAACTTAGCGCCGACCAAGGAGCGGCCGTGGCCAAATATGATTCAGTCCTTGCAACTCTTGAATTCGCTCGAGACTTCTCCAAGCAAACGCAGCAGATGTTTAAGGAAGCCGAAAAGGAACAGAAGAAACAAGCTCGCAAGGTACGTTGAGTCATCCCAAATTGAATGAAATAAATGTAAAGTGCAACACAAGTATAAAATATAAATACGACATTGTGTGTGTAGGATAACCAGGCTAAATCGCTGGCGGAGATTGCCAAGATTCGCGAGCTCTTGGTCATGCAAAACGTTCTCAGCTGCTTCAACGATGAGCAGGTGCGCAATGATTTCGTGGCCGGAGAAAATGGTGCCTGCAAGCTGGAGATCGCCGATTTGGAAGTGCTTGAGAAGTTGTAAGTGGTTATTGAAAAACTAATACCAAATATATATGTATATAAGTGCGGAATATACTTCAATTGCCTGCTGATGCCATAAATTCATATGTACTTGAACAGAGTCATAATAATTGTTAATATAATTGTTCTTGATAGTTTAATTTTTAGTACAACTATAACTAATACGAGAAGAACTGTTTTGATGATTTGGCTAGGTAGATCAATTAGTTTTTAATTTATTTATTTTTTATTTTTTGTTTATATAATTTTATTAGCAGTTTTTCCGTTTATAACAGCTTAACAGTCTTTAATGTTGAAAATTTGATAAAATCATTAAAGAATAGTTCAGCAAGTCTAGAACTACAACTATTAATGTCATATTTTTATATATTTGAGTGAATTTCAAGTTTATATATTCATTTAGTGACTCATGAAAGCCTTTAATTTATACTCTGTAATATACATACAGTTGAGTGGTTTAATTTGTATGCTATTTATTATATATATACTAAAATTCTTAATTTATGTTCTGTAATATAGCTGCATGGATGTGCAAACGCGTCGACCGGAGATTGCTGAGGATGTCAGTTTCCTGGCAACCGCTCAAAAGGCAGCCGAACTCTTTGCCATGACCATCAATGCTCGAGCTAAGCCGTACGGTGATACGACATTTGAGAAACTGCGTGCGCTCTTCCAACAGATCCAGGACTGTGGCTATTTGGACAAGTACTATTTGATTCCACTGGCGGATCAGAGTGTGCAGGGCAACTGCACAGACAGCGGCACAGTTAGTGGTGAGGGCGAGACTATGCTCAATGATGTGGCGGGCATTGCAGGTGATCACGATGTGCCTATGTCGGAACCCTCGGCTCATAATTCGCTGGAGGAAGGCTTGGACAAGCTGACCACCTCCGAGGCGGGAACTGTACTGCCTGAACTGCAACAGCCGGAACGTGGTCATCTGTTGCTTGAGCCGCAGCACCAGCGTGCGCCCGTTGTCGATCCGCAGCAGCAGCAGCAACAGTTGCTGGTGCAACAACAACAGCAGTCTGGTGTGTATAATGCTGCCTCTGCAACTGCAGCTGCAGCTGCACCGGCGAGCAACACAACGCCGGTGCACATAATGTACGCATCAGCGGCGACTCAGGCAACGCATGTGCCTCCGCCAGGTCAGCATCCCCATCAGTTGCTCAGTAGCCCCGTGAATCTCCAGGCCTTGCACGGTGTGCCGCAGTCGCAGCCGCCCCAGGCGGGCGTTGCCGCTGCGCCATCAGTGCCTACTCAGCAGCAGCAACAACAGCAACAGCACTTTGGACCCACGACCGTGCGCGCTGTGGAGCACAATTACTTCAAGCAGCCGCCGCTGCAGCCTCCACAGGCAGCTGCTGCTCTGCAGGCGCCCACGCCCCAGCAGCAACAACAGTTTATGCAGCAGTTGCGTCCCCTGGCTGAGGTACTGGGCACCGGCAGCTTCCACTTTCTGCAGGACAGCGAATTGGATGCTCCGGATGCGCTGCCGCCACAGCAGCAGCAGCAGCACCAACAACAGCAGCAGCAACAGGCACCGCCACCACAACAGCTGCAGGTGCAGGGCTTAGTCTTTGAGCAACAGCAGCAGCAGAATCATGTAGATGAGCCGCAAACCATTACAACCCTGACCTTTACCAATCAGTCCTTCCCGTCCTTGCAGCAGCCGCAGCAGCCGCCGTCACAGCCACCACCACCACAGCAGCAGCAGCCGCAGCAGCAGCAACTTTTCTCACCTGTTCTGATTCATGAGCAACAGCGCCAACAACAGCAGCAGCCCCCGATGCTCATCATGGCACGCTTGGCGACACAGCAGCAGCAACAGCAACAGCAGCAACAACAGCAGCAGCAGCAGGCGGCTCCACAGCCACCTCAGGGTATTGGCATGCAGCCAGGCGATGTGACTGCAGTGTTTCCATATGACGCCGCAGTTGTCAGCTACGAGCAGCAACTGCAGCAGCAATTGGGACTGAAGCCACAGCCACAGAAGCAACAGATCGAGGAGCCGCAACAACAGCAGCAGCAGCAGCATCCATTGCAACAGCAACCTGCTAATGACGTAGATTCTAATGAGTGGCATGGACGTGGAGGCGTAAATGATACCAATGCAGCTGCCACAGCCGCATTGACCAATGTACTGAAGACCCAATCATCGGCGCTGGCCGAGCAGGCAACTCCAACGTCCAGCAACAAGTGGAGCAGCGAAATGAATGCGATGAGCAGCGCCGCCTCGAATGGCAGCAACAGCAGCAACAGCAACAAGCAGGAGTGGGCAACTCCACGCGACAACAGCAGCGGTCGCGGTGGCTATGTCAATGAGAACGACAGCGGCAACAATCATTGGAACTCCTCGCAGCAGGACAATGGCAACCAGATGCGTCGCAACTCTGGCAACTATCAGCAGCGTCGCAACGGTGGTGGCGGCGATGATCGTGGTCGAAACGGCGGCGGTAACTATCGCTCTCGACAATATGGTAACTCCTCGGCCCAGCAGAATGGACGCAATAGCGGCGTCTATTTCCGCAATAACGAGTCGAGTGGAGGCGGAAGCGGTGGAGGCGGTGGCGGCGGCAGTGGTGGTGGCGGCGGTGGAAACTACTACCAGAACGGTGTTTATAATAAGGAATCACGCTATGAGTCGTCGGGCGGCGGTTCCTATCGCAGCCAGCGTGGTGGCAATCAGCGCAACGGCAATGGATCCTTCGGGCGGCCCATGGGTGATCGCTCACGCAACACGGGTGGCGGAGGACCAGGTAACGGTAGCGGGGGCTACATCAATTCGCGCCAATCACAACAGCAACGCATGCCGCTGGGCTTGGAAAACAAAAATTAAGCAGTGAAAGGCGTGGGAAAGGCGACGGCGCAGCTGTTTGGCCATGCCACATGTATTAAGAAAGAGATCCTCTCATACAATCATACACATACACTTACACATACGCATACACAAGCATTACGCGTCATCAATACAAACACACACACACATACATATACAAATATGTCTATATGTATATATAAGTATATATATGTATTTAAATATATATGTATATATATAAATATATGTATATACATTTACGTACCCGTATATACATATGCATATATATATTTATATACACATATATATATAGAAACCGCGTTGCCACGTTGGCGTATAATTTACCGTTAGTCAGCAACGTGAAAAGATCCAAAAAGAAAAAAAAAAGAAAAAGAAAGAATAGAAACATAATGAAAAAACTGTTTGCGCATTTTTTTATAAATACAATTTAATGTTTCTATATAATTATGATTTATTTAATTAATAATTAATAAAAACAAACACAACAATCTAGTTTCTAGAACACTTACGACACAACCATACAGGAAACTTAAAAATAAACAAACAAACAAAATTGCAAAGGGTTTTTAAAACCCAACAGCAAAACGAAGACACAAAGTAAACAATAAATAATACAAATTTGTGCATGGGCACTGGACAAACAGCTGTAAAATGAAGGCGAACATAAAACAAAGGGAGAAAAGGAGCTTGGAAAAGTGCGATCAACTTTGCCAAGAAGAAAGTAGATGGAAACATAAACAGAAAATAAAAGTATTTATACGTCTTAGCGATTAAATTACAATTTTGAAACATACAAATTATATTTAATGAATTAATATAATATATTGCGAATGGATGATGAAAATATGAAAAGGAAACGCAACTTATGTAATTTACTATAAACAAATATATTTATAGTTTGTGCTCTTACTACCAATTTTATTTACAATGTTTTTTTTTTGTTTTTTTTTTTTTTTTTTTTTTTTACAAGTCTGCGCATATGAATTAATTGAAATATGCGAATGTAGTGCTGTATATGAAAAGATAAATACATTATGCCCGACTTATGTGAAGAAACAAATTATATACTTATATGCAAAATAGTGACATTAAACAAAAATCTATTTAAGTAAAGAATATTTTGCCTTATAGCTAGAACGCTGTCTTTCAAATTGACTAGATTTGTTTTTGTTTTTGCTCATCTGGCGGCCGGCTCACGTCCGTTTTTGTATCACATAGAAAACAGAGCCCGGTTAATATGAGAGCGATGCCAGCACCGGATAATACTGTCAGGGGTTCCCGATATACTAGAACACCTAGAATAAACTAAACAAAAATTGGCTGGATTAATAAATAATTCACTTCTATATGTATGCAGTTTCAAACGTACTGATAACACGTAATTGGAGGCAGCAGTGAGGACAGTTGCTGTCAGCGTCTGTTGGGTCATTTGCAAGGCCTTCAGAAAGTACCGTAGATTGCACACATTGCAAAATAACATGAGGCCAAGGGGGAAAACTTGGACTAACGCAAATTCTAAAAAATATAAATAATAAGCAATTATTTGTTAAGTGATCATTGCAAATACTTACCGAGATATGCATAGCCGGCGGGTTGTACTGCATCAACCTGTAGTAGGTTCATTGCACTGAGAAAACTGGGCAGCTTGCCAAAGAAGCTGCCGCCGGCAGCGCATGCGCCGGCTAAAAAACTATAGCGGTACTTAAACAAAACATTCATTTCAGATTCTATTTAAAGTTTATCAGCTGTTTTGCCTTGCCAATCAAACTTTCATAAGTTTGCCACCACGATTAATAATTAATGAGTATCGCATATAAAACATCGATTGCAGTCACTACTAATTATCATCAGTGCGGAATGTTTGAAAAATATCGATTAAGAGTGCAAATGAATGAAAAAAGTTGCTATTCGTATTTCAAGCTGACAATTTAATGTTTTTATACGTTTGTATTGTTGTTAAAAGAAAACATGGTTTTCAAAAGATGTGTTATATTTTTAGTCGATATATCGGCTAGAGTAATAAGAATATTTCAATTTATAATCAGCTAAAATATCGAAACTCCAGTAACCAGTAGCAATGTGTTATACTCCTCTCTCAGAAAGGAACAGATGGGACCATTTCGGATGAGCCTGAAAGCAGGAGGCCCGAACAAATACGAATACGAAGCTGGGTTAAACCTAACGGACAATATTTAAAGACAGCACATTGCTTCCTTCAGTTGAATTATTCATTTAGAGTATTGTAATTTCACAGATAAATTAGCAAACTTTATTGGCTGATATTCATAGCGGAGGCATCTGAGCTGACATCGGCTATGTGAAAGGAACCATCCTCGGCGGGCAGATCATCTTCATCCGTGTACAAGCGACGTAGACGCTCCTTGTATCTATAAATAAATGCACGATAATGAATATACCAATATATATAGGGATGTCATCTGGGGTCATACAGTTCGCTGTCGGGATTATTGTTTTGATTGCGGCACTTGTCCAATTTCTTTTCAATAGCCTTAACTTTCTCCCGATCTGGTTGCTGATAATTTTTTACCAACATGCGTATTTCTGAAATTATTAATTTAGTTTTAGAGGCGTCCAGTTGCGCTTTACATTTTACTTACTGCGCACTGCATCGATCAAACCTGGCAGCTTCTCGCGCGCCGACACAAACAGTAGGTCTGTGACGTAGCTGTCCAGGTTCTCTTGCTCCTTGCTGGCCGCATGCAGCACAGCCGCCAGTCCAATCTGTGATGGAGTGTGCAGCAGACATGCGTCCGTAAAGAACGTCGAGTCGATAAAGCTATCTATTTGCGGACGCAAACGTTCTGGATTTTGCATATTGCTGCGAGTCTGCGAATGAATAGAAAACGTTTGAGTTGAAAGGATAGTTAAAATAGAAGCATTCCGTTTCGTGCCTTGATGTCTATTAGAAAACCCTCAATCGGGCGGAACGGATTGTGTATTGTGAGGTAGTAGTTAAGTTGGCCAATTAACAGTAGCTCATTTGAGAGCACAATGTCTGTGGCCTTGTTACGATCGCCTTTTATGTTGTTAACAAACTGATTGATAGATACATTAAACTCCTCCACCTTACAGGCAACAAATACGCAAGTGGCTCTAAAAGGAAAACAAGTAATAATTAAACCAATATATATGTATATTAAAAAATATTTGATGCTCACAATATTTCCTTGGGATGATAGTCCATCGGTGTATTGTTTAAGTAAAAGCGCTTGAAGTAATGAAATGCAGTCCCAATTACGCACTTCGGCATGGTTGGCTCGAAACGCCGGCAAAATTCCACGAGATAAATTTCATACTGCTTTAGCAACAGGCTCTCTTCAGCCGGCGTTAGAAAGTAATTTTCGAGGTTGTCTTGCGATGGCGCTTCACTTCGATGCTCTTCGATGTATTTGGTGTTCTGCTCCACCCGGAATGCATGTAGTTGAGCTTCGTTTGCAAAAGTCCAAGATCGTTTTTGTGAGCTTTGCGGATACATTGTGAAACATAATCATTTAACAAAACATTGACAGTGTTTGCCTTTGACATTCGCCTGCGAACTGAAATAATGCCCACTATCGATAGCTTCAAGAAGCAATATTAGCAAAATATATCGATAGTTTATTAGTGCTGTCAACTGTGCTGCAGACTTTTGGGCGCCAAAAATATTTAAAATCATAAAAGAATAAAACACAGCTGTTTTGGCAATCTGCGTATTTCACGTGCTACACCACTGAGTCTTTTAACAGTGGTGCTACACATTTCATGAGCGGAACAGTTTACAGGCGGCAGCAAGCAATAGCTTGAGTCATCGAAACAGCGAAATTGCTCTGATTTTTGTTGCATTTATATCGAATTGAAATTAGGTCATTCGACTGTTTGTTCTCCCCGCATCTTACGCACGTCCTCTCCTGCTGGTTTGTCTGCAGTCTGCAGTGTTAACAGTTGTATACCCTTCATCGAATAAAATAAAATGAAAAGAAATTCTTTTTAGAAGAACCAGTATAATGTATATAGGGAATTTTAGTCTTGAGCTTTTCTCCATATTTGTATATAATTGCATTCTTTAAATTACCCTTCAGATGTGTGTATGTATTTCTTAACTATGCTTTACGAAGCTTACTTCTAATCGATAATACTCTTTGACTACTCTTCATTGAGGTTTCTGTATACTTTGTATGCAAGGAGCAGCGTGCTGTGGCAATAAAATTGCAATTAATTTTTATTGACAACTCTGAACTCTTGTTACAGCGTTTTGTTGTTGATCTTTAAGCGATTTCTCTGGCGCAATGTGGAAGGCGTTTTGCCGGTACTCACCGACCTGGGATGGGAAACGAAAGATATGAGAGTCCACATACAGCTAAATAGGGATCTGACAAATATTTCAACATATGACTTATTGGACAACATTTGTCTTTTGATTTTGTATGATCCTGTAGACGTTTTCTTTTTTATTCGAATAGTCTAACATCTATATAAAGTAGACCACCCAAAACGGGGATCTACTTATGTAATACAATACAAATATATTTTGTTGCGATTAACGACTGTTGAACTTCGAGCGTACAATAAAAGCGAAATAAATAAATAAATCTATGACTGAAAAAGAAATCAGTTTACAATAAAAGCTGGCCCCAGCATTTACAAACAATGAAATTCAATGCAATAATTCAATATTCAATTGAATTTTAAGCACGCCTCGTCTCGAGCGGAGCCTCCTTCTTGAATCTTTGAAACTAGAAACTGGCTCATGGAGTCATACCGTCCGATTGTCCGACCGTTTGGGCGTCCAGCCTTCTCTGACGGCAATCCATCTCAGCTTGTCTGCGCCGCACGCGCACAGACCGCGATCTACTGAGTCATATAAGCATTCATGGACATACCTACATACATGTGTACTTGGATGCATATATATGTGATTGTGTGTGTGTGTGTGTGCGTAAGAGGGAATTGGCCTCGAAAACCACTTGGCAAAGAAAACTGAGCTGGATTACGAAAACTTACAAGAAGCATGCGAGTGAGACACAGGCAAATGCAATCAAATCTGTCGGAATCGAAAGCCAAGAACTACAAAATAGGACGCTTTAAATGTATTATCTGATATTATGATCCTTAGTTGAAAAGTTCTTCATTATTGATTATTATTTTTAATTTGTATTATTCTTACTTTTTGTTATTATCACTTTTACTTATTATCAATTTTTATCTTGAATATTTTTTATTGTAATTATTTGCAAAATAATAGCGATAAAATTAATGCGAAACTACCTACCAACAGGCTGCTTCACAACACATACAAGAAAAATCACACACATGCACACACACACTTAAATATTTACTCACGCCCAATCACATTCGTTTTAACTGAATGCATAAATGCATTTTAATGGCATCTATGTGAGATGCTGCCATACGGACTCTAAGTACGTATGTATTAATATATTTGCAGGCACTGTTGTTGTTGTAATTGTTGTTGTTACTGTTTCTATTGCTTGCTTCAAATATAGCGTGTGGTCGTGGATTATGTTCGGCTTTTGGCATCTCACTTTGTCGCTACTCTCAGGGGGCGTGTTTTCACATAGACAAAAACAAGCAAATAATTGAATGTGTGAATGCTCAAATTTGTCTGCTAGATGTGTGTGTGTGTGTGTGTGTATGTGTGAGTTTTCACTTGGGGCTTAGCCAATGGGAAACATGTATAAATACATACTTAACTCTACGCATTCATTGGCTTTTAAAGATTTCACTTTCAGTTCGTTGCCTAAGTCTTTTGATTTTAGGTGACGAAGTGATTTCAACTGGAAGATATACAAATGTTTCTATTAAATGTTGCTTTGCCAATAATTCCTTTATGGTGTAGAAATATATGGAAAAATAAATATAAATATGTATTGAATATATATTCATAAATATATTCATTCATATTCATTCGAGCTACATTTCATTTATTTTTACTTTTCTCTTGCCTGCCTGTTGTTGTTGCTGCATTTGTTGTCATATATCGGCGGCATTGTCATAATTACATTTATTTAGTCAATATCCACATAGTTGACATTTGGAAATATGTCAGCCGGCTTGCGTAATGAATAAGGCATCCACTATATACGAGCCTACGGCTCTCTGTTGGCTGTCTTCCAGGGATTGTGATGGATATACACATAAGCACGGGTCATGTGACAGTTGAATCGCAAATATATTTAACAATTTGCTGTAGATGGTCATGTTAAGTCTGCTCATGTGTCAATTCGATGGAGGCAGCTCGGACCAGGCCTGACCAAGAAAAAGCATTCCAGTTGACGTCGAAACTTTCGACTGAAGTGAAAGATTTTAAATATTTACGGATCATTTTTGAAGATTCTTTTAGGCATATAAAATTCTTCAAAATTGTTTTCGTTTTTATTATTTGTTTGTTGCATTTTACATTGGGTTCGCTTAGCTTATATGTCTACGAAATAAATTATTTAAAATTAAGAAAACAAACAGAAGGGAAAAACAACATGCAAATTATAAATGACTTATGTATAATACACGTGCTAAACATAAATTAAATAAAAACACACAAATAAATGACAGTCGATTGTAAATTTGGCTAAACAGTATTTTAATATTTATATTTATATATGTATATGCGTATATTAGAGTGTGTGTGTGTGTGTGTGTATACGAGAGTATTTCGAATCGCTTAAATGCTGTAATTGAGCTAAAAACAATTTATTTGTACATACTTTCACTGGCACCAATATCGAATCGTTTGCTAATAGCCAAGTGGGATGGCTTCCTGCCGTGGCCCTATCCCGTTAGCGTTTGCGAGCGCACCAGGGTCAGGTCGAGGGGCGTGGGCTTGCGTACAAAGGTGGCGGGCGAGTCCGAGGGCAGGTTGGCTGATTCACTGAGTGGGCTATTGGAGCTGTTTGCCGTCGGACTTGCAGCATCCGTTCGTGAGCGAAGCGATAAATCCATGGGCTCCTCCTCCTCCGCTGGACTGCTCGTCGGGAACGGAAATAGCAGCTCCGACTTGAATTGCTCCTTGAAGATGGGCAACGGCGGCAAACTGCTGGCCATCAAAGCTGGCGGCAGGGTGAACGGCGTAAAGGAGCTGTACAGCGGCTCCGAGTGGCTGCGAAAGATATCCAGCAGCTCCTTGTGGCGTCGCTGCTGCTGCTCCGCAATGTCCGCCTCGGAGCTGCCCGCATATGCGGAGCTGCTCTGTCGTGCCGCCTTCCTAATGCTGTTCGTCGTTGCGCTCAGCACGCTGGTGCCGTCGTCCGTGGGATCTCCGGCCGAGGAGGCGCCCGAATCGCTGGGCGTATTGCTGAGGCGGGACTCGAGCTTCAGCTGGCGATGCTGCTGCTGCTGCTGTTGCTGCTGCTCGTTCAGATACTTGGCTGCTTGCAGAAATCCAGGCAAACTGGGCGCTGGCGTCGAGGCAGTAGATACCGCTGCCGCTGCCGCCGCCGCTGCTGCCGCCGCCGTCTGCAGTGCAATGGTGGGCGAGGTGGCGGCCGTGGCCGACTTGATGCAGGGATTCGTTTTGTCCTGGTAGGTTTGTCGCGCCTGGTTGCTCGCCTGCTGCAGTCGCGCCAGCTGATCCAGATTCGCGTTGCTCACGCTGGCTGCGCCCATGGTCGCGCCGCTGCCCTGCTGCTCCTGCAGCAGGCAGTGTATCTTGAACCAATTGGAGCGGCGGCCATAACGGGAACCGCTCTTCGACATGCCCACCAGCAGGCACTTGCGCAGCCGGCAGGCCTTGCAAGCCGTGCGATTCTTCTTGTTGATGACACAGTCCCCGTTGTGCTTGCAGCCGGCGATCGCTGCGATGTTGTTGTAGGTGCGGCCAAAAAACGACTGCAACGATGCAAAGATTTGGAATAACAATTTATGAATTTGTGCTTATGAATTCTTTCGTAGTGAAAGTTTATAAATCATTTAGATGAGAGTTCTTCAAAAACTTTGTAGTGAAGCGCTTAATTTCTATAAATTTCCTTATGAATTTCTTACTTGATCTAAGGATCTAACATATATGTTTTTATAAATAGCTACTCAAAGAAAAATTATGTTTTATAAAATTATATAGACTTTTATATCAAAAAAATATGCAAATATAATATATAATTCAAAATTATATTGCACTCAATTCCATGCATGTTTATTTTTTTATTAATGGTCTATTAGCTCAATTTATAAATTTATTTACGCTAAATCCTATATGAATTTAAATGTTTCGCTTCTGTCTATTGCTTATTACATTTTGTTTGCAGTCCAATAATAAATAGAAGGATCTCCTATCTTAAAATTTGTAACATATATTTAAATAAATCTATGCTATATCTTTGATTTAGACCATGTTATGCTTAAAGCCTTATTATCAACTAGAGCTCTGCGTTTAGATCTTATTTCAAGCCATAAAAATCAGTTTTATTAGTTCAAGTTAATTTTGAATTAAATTCAGTTAAAGTTACAGCCCGAGAGATTAAAAATTAAAATAAAAAAAATTTTGATCATTAAAAAGATTGTGGATGTCTCTTCATGCTTTAATTGCATACTAAGCCTTGTTAAGAATAATTTAATTGAAATTCAGTTCAATATTTTATAGTTATATTAGTTCAAGTATTCAATTGAAGTTTTCCAAGCCTGATTTTCGGATGTAGCTTTCTTGTTTATTTTATCTACTATTTTAATATAGAAATTTTATATTTTTTCAAAGTATCTAATAATTTTTTTATATATTGAAATTATTAAGCATAAAAACCTCATTTATTTGCAGTTGAGTCTATTCTTACATTCTTCAGTTTGTGTTCGAGGGAAATCTAGCTTTTGCTTGCCTCTATGCTTGCTGAAGCTCTGTGAGCTCCTCCGGCATTGAAAATCAATTATTGTTGATACCTTTTGCACCTGTGATTAGCATTCGGCAAGTGGCATAATTTCGATCAATTCAGCGCTTCAATTACAAAATGTGCGTTAATAAACTGCCAACAGTGTGTGTTAGCCCCAGTCTTTGCCCCTGCTATTGCCCGCTAGGGCCCGTGCCCCTGCCCCTGTTCCCGTCTCCTGCACCAGCTCCATTCATGGTGATTAAGCGAAAGAGTTTCATGCACTATTTAATGTATGTGAGTGCTTTTGTTTTGTTATTGTTGTTCGTTGGCTGTTGTTGTTATTGTTGTTGCTGTTCTATTTTAGCCAACTCATTCGAGAGCTGCTGGGCCAAAGTTGTTCGCATCGATGTTGAAGTTCATTGAGCGCCATGTTCAGCGAATAAGTTAACTTTGATGCTTGGCTCTTGCCATTGCCCATTCGCTGAGTCATCTAATATGCATGTAATTTTTATTTGATTGACTGCAGTTTACAATTGTGCTCGCCTTGAGCTCTGCCTCTCCCTCTCTCTATATGTCTCTCTCTCTCTCTCACTCTCTTTGGCGGTGTATATGTACAGATAGTCGACCCATCAGCTGCTGCTCTAAATTTGCAGATATTTTCCCATGGCATTTGAAGGTTCAGGCCATTGTGCACGTCCTCGCATCTACTTAAAGTCAATTAAAAATCAATTAATCTACCGAATTGAATTTTAATTATAGCAATAAGATTTCTCCTTTTTTTTCTTGTGTTGCAGAAGTAAAAAGCTTAATTTTGAGCTCATTTTCGCACATTTTGTAAGCATGCCGAAAGATTTTTATTGTTATTATTTGCTTCCCACAATTTTTGATTTAAATATATAATGTAATGTATGTATTTAAGTATATGGTATAGTAAAATCATTATATATATTTTTTTTTATGTTTATATGTAATTTACCTTGCAGCCCTCGCATGTGAATGCTCCAAAATGAAAACCAGCCGCTGGTTCGCCGCAGACTTTGCACAGCTGGTTCATCTGCAATGGATAATTGATTTTATTTTTGAGGTGAGGACTAATGCACTGAACTAAGTTTAGTATAAGCATAAATAGTAACTGATTAGACTTATGGCAGCATATGATATATTTTTTTTTGTTTACAATTAAAATAGTGGGCTTTTGAGCAAACTCCTTATCGTTTAATGAATGATAAATGAGAGAATTTGTTTCAAACAATGTATTAAAAATATTTTTTGATATTAAGAATGATTATTCAAATTAAAAGCTGCAAGCTGCTGCACTGAAAATTGAAAATTCAATTTAAATGCATTTCCTATTTATATTTTGTTTTGCTTTCTTTACATTCCTTAATCTTTTTTTTTTTTTTTTTTTTTTTTGAGAATAGTTAATAATCTTATTTTTGTAATGTTGTAATGTTTTTTCAATTTATTTATTATTTTTTGTTTTAGCTTAATATTTGTTATATTCTTTATTCTCACTTTTTTTTTTTTTTTTTTTTTAACAACGTTAATATTGTTATTTTTTATGAGTCTACCAAAGAATATAATGGTTTATAATCGGAAAAATAATTTAAAATAATACGAATAACTCGTATATAACTTTTTGGTGATTTAAAAATATTTGTCAAATTTAATTCAAATTGATTTTTTGATGAAAAAATGGAGTTTATGTTTAAATGAAATCTCAATAAAAAGCGGAAAACCGAAAAAGGTATAAAACCCGTTTAAAATTAAAAATGTATCATCTATAATTTTTCTTTAAAATTCGTATTGAATTATCAATCTAGATAATAATAGTAAAAATCTTGTAAAACCCTTTCGGTTTATTGATGCCCAGCTTGTCCGGCTCACACACGAGGCAACTGCAACAGTGAAAATACTTAACAGCAACAAAATAATAACAAGTAGAAGAAGAAGCAGCAGCATCAGCGGCAGCAGCATAACCGATGACCCACTGCGTTTCTCTTTACTTCGCCTCTTTATTTTTTTTTTGTGTTGAATTTTGTATTTTGAGCTTTTGGCACAGGTCGTGGTTAGAAATTGAGGTATGCGACGACCGGTTTGGGCTGGCACCGCCGTCCGAGACGGGGTAACGACAACTCGATTCCCGGCCTGGTCGCACTTCCCTCCGCATGAGGATGGGTCGTGTTCACACATCTAATATACGTAGTTACTTGTTTTCTATGCTCATAAAGCTAAGGTCAAGAAAAAGAAGCAAAAAGAATCCAATAACAACAACAACAACTGAGAAAATGCATGCGCAAACATTTTGCGTCAATTATTTGATCAAAGTGGAAATTTTTGGAAATTTTGAAATAGTTTTCACTTTAAGGGAATGAAACTTGACTTGACAAAATAAAATAAAATAAAAGGAATTGATTAGCTATGCTCTTTCTGGTGTCGCAGGTTTTATCAGTTCAATAATATTATTCAATTCAATTAATATTATGAAGATTGTATTTCAAATATAATCTTATTTGTGAATATGCTCAATATCGACCAACAGAGAGTGTGTAGATTTAGAAATTTGATTGCATGAGAATTTGAAGCGAAAGAGAGACCTAATAGGTTTACAATAGCTATCCCTGAATGTACCTAATGCTGCCATCATTGCTTTATATGGAGAAATATATAAATTACATTGAGAGAGAATGAGAGGCGCGTACACTTTCATAGAGCTACTTTGATAACACCTATGGAAAAGCATATCTGAAATTGTTAGCGTGACGCTAAAGTATTCTCCTAAATTAAGCAATAAATAAACCTATTTGATAAATAAATTTGCAATTACCGTATTTTTATCATTATTATTTTAACAAGACATAAAGTTAACTTAATAAAAACATGTTATTAAATTATTTAAGATTAGAAATGAAATTGAATTCAACATACATCTAAGATTAGTTATTAAATAGTTATTTAGTAACTCAGTAATTTAAAAATATAATATTTTTATATTATATAAAATTTCAAGTAAATTAAATTATGCAATTATTGTGTTATTATCTTTAGTGCTCAATTATATTATTTAATTGGGTAAAATTAATTATTGAATTTTTTATTTATGTTTTTTTTTTAATTCCATTTTTTTTATAGATGTTTAATTCTTTAAATAATATATTTATATTAAAAACAATATTAATTTAAACAAAACCAAAATCCTTTTTTTAATGAGTATAAAAAAATCGTATATTATTTTGAAACATTAAAAAGAAAGAATAGATCAATTATTTGTATAAAGCTCACTCCAAAATTTACCTAAGGCAGATCTATGGAACAGCTTTGTAGGATTTGCTTATATTTAAAGGGAAGCGCTTTACATAAACTTTTAGCTGCGATGGGCATCAAGATCTAAGCACAAGGTACTTGAGTTTTTGGGTCGTCTGCTGCGGCTTTTCCTTTGGCGCTTTGTTGAGTTTTCGCCGTGGGCATTGGCAGTGCCATCGCATTGGTCGATCGCAATTCAGTTTTCTTCTTATTTATTTTTGTATTTATATATATATAAATATATGTGTGTATATGTAGGTTTTCTGGAAAAGCGCACCGCTGTGCCTAAAATTGTCACGGTTTTCTGTGAAGGTGCAAATTTAATGTTTGCCAATTTAGCAGCGCTCGCTGTCACCTTTGGTGTCCATTAGCGCGCGTTTATATGCAAAGTGGCGGTCTGGCGTGTTCGCCATTATCACAGGAGCAGCATCACGCCGGGCCACCACCTGCTGAGCGCTGGCCGCAACTGCCAAGCGCGATGCGCCCTCCTGCCCAGCCAAACGGTGTCAAGATATGGACACAATAACGAACTTACCGGCAACGGGAATGGGAATCCGAATGCGAATGGCAATGGGAATGGGAATGGGAATGGACAGAAGGGTATGGGTATGGGATGGTAACCCAGCAACAACAGTGCAAGACGTGAAGTGCTTATGCTTAATGCTTGGCATTTCCGCACTCTGGCACTTGGCATTGGGTCACAGCTCTCTTTCGCTCTGCTAACTGATGCCTCAAATTATATATTAACTTAAAATTATCGAGATATTTTAAAGATTTACATATAAAGTTATGTTAGCTTGGTTTGTGAACTGTGGCATATCCGTCCTTATATTAGCTCGAGCTTTGCATGTTGCATCAAAGTATAAACTTTGATATTGATTTATTAAATATTCTTGTTTGTGCCTATTTTTTTTTTTAATATATATTTTTTGTGAATTTATATATTTTATAAATACTATATAATATTATATTATATTATAAATATATTGCTTAGAGAATTCAGCTTGACAAAATTTATTGCTAAGGAAATTAAATTTTATAAAGTTAAGATAAGATTTTACAATTTAACTTTGTCTTGGATTCTCTATAGCAGCAGAAGAAAAAGCCGTTACATATTCCTAACCTTTATTTATTATTTTTCATATACTTTTATTATTATTTTAATATTAATTTTTTAAAATTTTTTTTTTATTTATTTATTTATTATTTTAGTATTAATTTATTATTTTTATTATTTATTTAAGGATACAGAGAATATGAAATCTCATTTTAATAACTATAACATTATTTATTTGCTTTCTGCTGAAATTTAAATTTGATTTGAATAAAGGTTGAAATCAATTATTAAATAACAATTAACAAATATCCAACTTATTTATAGTAATGCTTGATTATAGTTTAATATAACCGATTCTCATCATATGTCATCTGCCTTAAGTAAACAAAGAGAGGTTGTAGTTAAATCTTAAATTTTATATTATTTGTAGCAAAAAGTGAACTTTAATCAGTGTGCTGGAAAATTACCAACTTTGGCAACTTTAGCTGTCGATTGCAGTCAACGAGTCGAGTACCTTCGAATACGAGTTTTCTGTCTGTAAGTTTTTTCTTTGGTTTTTTTTTTCGGAATTTTTGTTTGCTGATCGCTGAGAACAGAAGCAAACCGAATCTCAATCATTTGGCAACAATGAGAACAAGATCAGTTGTGCATATATAGGTACATTGGACAAGCTCATCAAGTAGCCGTTGACAGAGGCGAACGGCGAAGGATTTTTAGCAATAAGCATGGCAAAGAATAATAAACAGAAATGTGTCCTTTAAAGCAAACAAAATGTTGTACACTGCAAATCAGATAAAAGGCATTTATCCCGCTGAACAAGAGCAGCAGCAGCAGCAGGAGCGAGAGCCTTTCGAACGAGACCCAAAAAAAAAGGAGGTGTTCAAACAAGCAAACCACGATTGTTGAAAAATATTTTGCAGCAGATACAAAATAGAACAAGGCGAGGTGAGGCAAAACAGGCAAACAGGAGCACAGCGGACGAATACCAGCTCGAGATCAACTCAAATATCGGTGACACAGAGTGAGCGAGAGAGGAAGCGAGTGTGAGAGTGAGAGAGAGAGGGTGCGCGTACAATAAACAATTGCCCATAATATGCTTTATTATTAGCCTCTGCCAAAAGACGTCGCAATATGCAAATCCATTCAACAGAGTCACACGCTCTAGTTTGAATTGTTCGCTTCCTGACTGCCATCCCTCAGCTCTCTCTCTGTCAGCCTTGCCTACTCGGGGCTCTGCCGAACAGCTTCCTTAGCCCTTTTCTGCTTGATTGCCAGCAGCAGTCAGACAATTAAATGTTTGAAAATCTTCAAGTTTTTTTCTTTTCTTTTTTGTGTCTTCTCTCGTCGCCCTTTTGTAATAATTTCTTGACACTTATCGCACAAAAGGCAATAACATAATTAATGAGCATGTCAATGAGTGTCTTTTGTTTCTCAGTTGCGCTTCCTGAATGTAGTCGCTTAGCTAATCCCTTGAGCATGACACGACCAGAGTCTCGCCGCTATGCAAACTGGTTGCCTTCCATATCCTTCAGATAGCATCGGAACTATTCCAATTGATATTCCAATACAGACCTCTCATATGCCTCCATATAGCAATGCATTAGCATATGTATTAATATTTATAAATGATGTATTATGTAAACAGTCTTATCTGATTTTAATAACAACTATGACTAACTAGCCATAAATCAATTAAATGTCAATGAATATAATAAACAGTTGATTCTAGAATGATGAGCACAAACATGATGAACGTATAGCATATATGCATATAGTATACTACAACTTAACATATTTATTATAAATGATATTAACTATTTTCAATTTGATTTCATTCACTCACCTTTTCACAATATTCTTATGCAGTAAACTGCATAAATTCGTTAACTTTAAATTTTGCTCAGCTCTAGTTTTCGCTTTTATTTTTGTATATTTTTTTAAATACTAAGAATTATATATTTGATTTTTATTTTATAGCTAACAGAGATATTAACTTTTACACAAATCACACTCTTTCCATATGCATATATATTTCACAATTATTTCTGATAATATTATTTATACGATTGCATTATGTGTAACACTTTTGCAGTTGTTTTATTTTGGCGACGGCTTTTCACAAGACTTGGTAGGTCGCACGTCGTGCGTCGTGATTCGTGAGTCACGTGCGCGTACCGTTACCGAAGAGCGCGTGTATCCTCACGTTCAACTGTTTCAGTTAGCGGTATTCTGCAGCCTTGCGATGCTTTGCAGCGTAGCGCCCATCCGAGACTAAACCGTCATCATCGTTCTGAGCTCCAACCAGCCGACCGACTGGCCCTGGCCTCAAAGATCATCAGCCAGCAGCAGCAGCAGCAGCAGCCAGCAGCATTTGAAGTCGCGCGCGCACGCGTCTTCACTGTATTACGTATATGTGTGTGTGTGTGTGTGTGTGTGAGTGAGTGAGCGAGATTTTGTATAACAGCCCAGTCGGACATTTAAAGGCAACACGATATGGCATATGCGATGTGCTAGAAGTAGATGATATATTAACAAAATAAAAATAGAAATAAAAATTATAATAAATAAATAAATACAAAATTTCTGAATATTCTATATATTATATATTAAATATATATTAAATATATTATTTATTTTAATACTAAAATTATTAAAATTTAATGCACTTATTAAATTAATTATTTGGCTCAAATTTAAAAAAAAATATTAATATGAAAATATTCTATAATATGATATTTAAATTTAATAAATGGTCATACCATTTTTTTTATTTAAATTTTTTTTTGAAATATAACTATAATCGTTAAAAGACATTCTTTCAAAAAGTAATTTAAGCTAGAATATTCAAAACTGAAGTAAATTTACTTATATTGATTTTTCAGGAAAAAGTTAATATGTTATAATTTGATATAAAATTTATAATAATAATTTCCAAAATGAACAAATAAACAATTTTTATTTTATTAAGTTTAGAGAACACTTCAAATTAAGTTAAAATTGTAATTTCTAAGTCAAATTTTATTAAAATAAAACTTGAGTAAAATCACTTAGTATTCATATGATAAAATACATGTTAACATAAGCTATGAAAAGCTGAAGTATTTGAAAATTTATAGTCTATATTTCTGAAAGTAAATTGGAAACTTCAATAAAAATTATATATTAAAAAAAAAAAAAAGACAAAAAGTATATAATTTGTAAAAAATATCCTTACACTTGCACACACAACTGAATTCAATCAAAAATTGAATACTATATATTAAGAAATACTCTCATACAGCTGACTTTTAGCATGCTGAAGCACTGAAAAATCAGCTACTTGCTTTACAGAGCGCAAGCGCAAATTTCCTGTTTACAGCTGCTTCTGTTAATGTTAAGTGCTGTGAACTGTTAAGAGTCGCGTTCATGTTGTTGTTGTTGGTTTAGTTGCTGCTGCGGCAGCGGCTGCGGCTGCTGCTCTTTGTGTGCTCTGCTCTTTGCGCTCTTCATGCTGAATTGTGGTTGGCTGTTGGCAGCGGCACGATCCGCCAGCGTTCGTTTGTTTTCATTGAATTTCTCGATGTGGTTGGTTGTTGATTTTTTTCATACGAATTGCTTTTGTTGTTGCGTTTGACTTTACACACAGTACAGTTATTATCGCGCGATTGCATGCGCCACTCTTGCTGCTGTTGCTGTTTGTGTGTGTGTGCCTCTCTCAGCGTGTGCGTGCGTGTGTGTGTGTACCCGAGTGTTTTTATTGTAAATGCGCATCCATTTGTATTCGTATTGGACTAATGTGGCAAAGAGGTGGGCACTTAATGCCCGCCGAGCTGTGTAAATAAAAGCGCAGAGAGACCGAACAACATTTTCCAACGAAATTAGTAGCTTGTTTACAAAATGGTGAAAACGAGTTTGTCGCTTAAGTCTTTCGTTTAATGGCACTAAATAAAGTTGTGAATTTGAAGTACACAGAAGGAATATATGTTCAACACACCCGACAAGTGACCCTTAGCCCAAAGGGGATATTCTAGATGAGAGCAAACAATCCATTAAATACATTTTATTATATAGTATTAAGAGTTTGAGGGGCACAAAAGTCAAGAGTTTTTTTTTTTTTAATACAGTCGAATCTCGCTAAATCGAAAATCGCGATAAATCGAAAAAAATTCTATCCCCTTCGTTCGTGATAAATCTCGATAATTTTAATTTCTATGTAGATCAAAATAAAAAAGTGATCTCCTTCCCCTTTCAAATTATCAGAACTCGACTGTAATAGTTGTTGGCTGATGCTGGTCAAGTTGAAGCCAATTGTCATTAGTTCATATCACGGCCAGAAACAATTCGAGCAGCGCCTTTAACGCTTATTTCTATATCTAATTGAATTCTCTTGTCATAAGCCAGATTGCAAGCGCAGGCTGATCCTAGGGCAAGAGCTCAGGCATGCGCTAAAGTCGGAGCTGGAGCTGGGTCCAACAGGAGACTCACTTGTGTCACTTCATGATGATGATGATTTCATTTTAATAATACCACTTGCAGTTGCATGGCCGGGCCGAGATCCATTTAATGCCCGCCACACCCCACCCGCCCCCTGCTGGGGCCGGTGCGTCAACACCAGTTGACGGAGTAACAAGGAAGCGCAACACTCTAAAACGACGTGTAATTTATCACAGCACGAGCAGCATTTAGCCATGAACTGGACGTGTACATTGCGGCTGCTGCGGTTAGTTTTTCTCTGACTTGGCTGTCAGCATCGCTGTCCTCTTCATAATCTCTGCAAACGCATTCAAAGTCGTCATCGTCATCGTCGTCTCCATCTCCATCTCCATCTCCGTCTTCGTCATTTCTTCTCGGTAGGCAAATCTGTTGCATCTGGCAGCGTTTTAATTTTAATTAAGTTTACGCGCTAGTCAGCCCCTGCCAGCCCCTCCCAGCCCACATCGGGTTGGCTGCAGCATCAGTGGCAGTGGGTTTTTATGGAACGACATGGCCATAAGCCGAGCCGGCGTACCTGCAGACGGGCTCACTCGCGTGCTCATGGTGATGAGTTGGAGCATTAGCTTTGATGTCTGCTCATATTTATTAGAGCGCAATCTACTTCAAATTATTGTTGACTAGACCAGGAGAGAGATTAATTTAGCCAGATGATGCTCGAGCTGGGAAAGAGAAAAAGGAAACATAAAGATCTACAGCTATAAGGCATGAAGCATACAAAAATCAAAGTCAAAGTATGCAAATCGATAGATAGATATTTGAAACGACGGCAAGGCCAAATCGAAGAAAATCCACTGCGAATTCCGCTGATGAGGATGTTGAAAGACTTAAACATGCAACATTGCCAAATACAAATTGTCGTTGGCCAAAAAGAGTCATGGCCAGCAGAAATAGGCGACAAATCTGCTTCTGCATGCGGCCTGCATGCCAAGTGCCAGAGCGGACCAGAGCGGAGTAGACCAGAGGCTGCATCGAATTGGAGGCTAATGCAACATGCTGCTGCATTGGCTGCATGGTGACATTGCAACATTGCGACATTCGATCGATGCCAAATCGATCCAGATACAGATACTTTAAATCACAATTTCAGCTGAGCGCAAGCCAAGCCAAGTTTCAGATAACAACAAAAACAACAAAAGTTGAAAAATAGCTGTGCGCACATGTCAAAGGCAGTAGCAAAAAAAAAAAAAAAAAAAAAAAAAAAAAACAGCAACAACAGCAACAGTAGCTGAAGCAGCAGCAGCAACTGCGACAGCAGCATTTTATTTCAATTTCAATTGATTGTCGTACAATCGCCATGAATAATTCAATTTTACAATTGCATTGCCCGCTGCTCGCAATGGGCGGCTAGAGCAGGATAGACGCACTGAGTGGGCGCACTGAGTGCAATAGAGATAGACTATCAGACACGGAACATATTTTAGCCACTGTATACTGTCTGCTGTCTGTGCTGCTGCTGTTGCTGTTGCTGCTGTCACTGTTGCCGGTAGCAGCAGCAGCAACAACAGAGTTGACGACGACGACGACCACCTATTACACATGATACACACTCGATATTGGATGTACTCGTGCTACCAGGAGAAGCGCTCGATTGACGCACACTAGGAAATGTTTTTAGCGAGCCTAGAGGGTGGGGCAGAGATGCAGAGGGAGAGAGAGAGAGGGAGCGAGCGAGTGATGATGAGCAGCTACATAGAGCACACCGAGAGTTCAGACTACTATATTGGCGAATTACCTTGAATTCTACAATCTTTGCACTTTTAATTTTAATACTGTGAGGGGTTTAGATAAGTGTTTCATATATGTATATATATTAATTTTAAAACCTTGATATGAAATACATCTTAGCATAATGCTCATCTTCCACAAATCATATTCAACTCACTCGCACCTCAAATTCTACTCCAAGTTCTACGTTTGCCCTGCTGAATCGCTAATGCATTGCCGGTGTTTAGCTAAATATAAGCGTTGTTCATTAGCATATGATTTACATATATATTTTATTTAACTAAATATATAATATAAAAACAATATTTAATTTTAATACTTATTAAATTACAGCATTCTACTCATCTTCCATAAGTTAAATATTTATATTAATTGATGGCGTCAATTGTGTTTAGTTTACTTAATATACGCTCTCTGGACAATAGGGGAACAATTGTAATAAATCAATAGCAGCTGCCAGATCACATCATTTCTAATTTTATTTTATAGCTTAGCTTATGAAAATATGTGTGGAATAACAAATCGGAAAATAGCATGAATGTTCGCTTTAGGTTCGCTGGGTGTGCGGCGACAATATCCTCTTGAATGCCAGCGTCGAATGATGTTTTTTAATCTGGCGGTATATGCTAATGACCAACACCATTTACTGTACATTTTATTCATTTTATTCAGTTAGTCAATCTATGGTTAACTGCTGTAAATATATTAAAAGAGAGCAGCAGCCTTTTTTGGTAGAAATATTGTTCATATATGTAGTTTTACTCGATTTTAGACATTGAATTCCCGTCTTTCTCAGTTGCTTTTACGAAATGATTTTTCGTTATTCCCTAAATTAAAAACAAATATATTAATTATGATTAATCAATTGTAAAGCTAATTGCTCTTAAATAAATTCAAAATTTTAAAACTAATTTTCTCTTTTTAGAATGCAACTCTAGTAGCTGCTACTGACTTCTATTAAAATATATGTTGCTGTTCTACTTAACTATTATTCTACAACTGATACTACTTTATATATAATACCAGCTCTACTACTACTACTTACTGTTATTCCTAAGCATACCTTAAAAATTATTACTTGTACTCCTACTATTCGATTGCTGTCATTACTGCAGCAGT